CCCCAAAACCCCAAAACCCCAAAACCCCTCTATTCTAACACACATTAAAAACTACTTAAAAATTACACTAAAATTACTTCTTATCCTTCGCTTTCTTAGTCCTCTTCTTCACCTTCTTCTCCTTCTTCTTCTCTGCCTTCTTAGAGACTGGCTTGGACTTAGACTTTGACCTTGATCTTTTAGTACGCTTAGAGCCTTCAGCAAGTTTAGTAGCTGGGCAAGAGCTTTCTTCCCTTTTGACTCATTTTTGAACGGGTTTTTTGGACTTGGTCTTTGAGCTGGATTTTGACCGGTGATTCGGCTTTTTGAGCGACTTGGAGGGATCTGGTTTAGTAGATTTGGCCGATTTTGACGATTTGGCTGATTTTTTGGATTTTGAAGATTTTTGAGATTTTGAAGATTTTTTGGACTTGTCGGACTTGGTTGATTTATGCGATCTTTTTGTGTCGGTTGATTTCTGGGATAGTATAGCGAGGGAGGACTTCTTTTTCTTAGATTTTTTCGAACTCTTCTTTTGCTCAGGCTCGAGTCTCACTTCTTCCTCATCATCAAACTTTCTCATTGCTCTATTCTTTCCTTTATGCTTAACTATCTTCTTTTTCTTGTTAGAAGACTTTTTTGACTTAGATTTTCTCAATTTCTTTGAAGCTTTAGAGGCTTTTGATGCTACTGATGCTTCATGCTCACTATTCTGGCTTGCAATCTTCATGATTGCATCCTTCTTTGAGCTTCTTTGCTTCCCTTTCTTAGAAGTTTTTGTTCTTTTGCTACTCTGCTTTGTCTTTTTCATGCTTACTTCATCTTCAAGTCCTTTCCTCTTGGATGTAGCCTTCTTGATCTTCTTTCGAGATTTACTTTTCGATTTGGGAGTTTGCCTTGATTTGCTCTCTTTTTGCTGTTTTGTTACTTTCTTAGTCTTTTTGGTGTTCTTCTTGGTCTTCTTAACCTTTTTGACGCTTGTTTCTGATTTCTGTGAAGCAGGCTCCATTGAAACATCTCTTGTCTTTGATTTTGATTTCTGAGGTTTTGTATCGGAAACCTTACTCTTCGATCGAGAAGTTTGTGAAAAAGTATCCTGGTCCGATTCTACAACTTCTTTTTGAACTTTAGAGACAACTCTTTTTCTGATAGCTTTGGATTTAGGCTTCTCTTTCTTTGGGACTTTTTTAGCTTTTTTAATCTTTTTCTTGCTGAGACTCCTTCCTCTCTTCTTGCCTGTCTCACTTTTGATACTCTTTTTAGAAGCTTTAGAGGCTTGTGACATTGTAATGGAGACGATCTCATCTTTGACTTGTGTTTTACAAGTATCAAGAGTTCCTTCAGTTACTTGATCTGTATCCATAGCAGAAGCTGGAATATCAGTTCAAGTCTTTTGCCCATCTGTGCCGGTTTTGAGACCATCAGTGCCAGTCTGCTGATCATCGGTCCCTGTGTCTTCTTGTTTTGTAAGAAAATCTTCTGTATTGATCTTAGAAAGAGTCTTTCTTGCATCTTTAGTACTTTGCGTTGATTCTTGTTTTCCAGCAGTCTCTTGGGTTGATTTTTGCTTGAGTGTGTTATCTCGAGATTCAATATCCTCTTCCTTTAATCTTTGAGGTTGAGTGTTTAAAGATTGAATTCTTTCATTCTCTTTTGCTTCTTCTTTAGGCTTCCCATCAATTAGTCTTTCAGGTTCAGCAACATTCTTTTGAGATCTGATTTCTTTCAAGACGTTCTGAACATTCTTACTAATCTGAACTTTATCCTTTGGCTCTTGAGGTTCTTCAGCTGGTTTAGGTTGTTGTTCTTCATCGCTACTTGCAAACCAATCAATTTCATCGTCATCATCATCATTCTGAGTAGTTCTTGGCTTCAAATTGTCTTGAAGTCCGCTAATTCTCATTTCATTTTCTAACTGTTGTTGTGCATACCTTTTTTTTCTTTTGTAGCCTTTTCAATCATTTCTCTTTCCCTCCTGGCTTTTTCATCTCTAACTCTGATATGGAATTGAATCTTCTCTTCTTCAGTAAGAATGATAGGAAGATTATCCGGATTTAGGTTCACTCCAGGAGGGCCACAAGGTGGACCAATAATTTCGGTTCTTTTTGGTGGAATAGTCTTTGCTTGTATCAATCCTTCATAAACTGGTCTATCGATACCATCTTTCGAAAGATCGATCATTGCGTTTGTGAGAGTAAGAGGCTTCCTTCCTCTTTCAGATTTCTTTCTACGCCTCCTGCCTGATACAAGAGCTCTTCTTTGCTCTAAGACAAGGATGTCCATACGCTTTCTAGCAGCATCTATTCTCTTAACAAATGCTTCTTGAGTGTCAAATGTAAGGGAGTCCCACAATTTTATATTCTTCTTCAGAAGATGAAGCAACTTTAGGTACTCTTGGGTCTGGTTATATTGAAACTTGTCTCTCATGTTATCTATGACTCCAAAGAACATTAGAAGGACGTTTCTACATTTTTCTTTAGTCTAAAAGGTGAAATAACAAATACTTACATGCCATACAAATCAGTTGTCGTTAATCCAAGTGTACAGATCTCTAAGGAATTTGAAGCTCAGGGTAAACTCAGTATCTCTTTTACCACAGCCTTCTTTTCTGAATTCCAAGAGCTCAGCTTTGTAAACCTTTTCGAACTCTTTAAGGCCTTGAATGAATTCTCTCTCATTGGGGTCTCTTATTTCTTCTCGTTCTGTGCTCAGACCAATTTGTGATTGAATAGCTCTTTCTTCAAGATCAAGCTCGTCTTTGTCATCTGTTTCTTGCTTCTGAGTAATGTTGTATTCTTTGTAGATCTTGTCTACATCGAACTGCATCATATCGGTAAGGTTCATCATTTTTGAAATTCTGGATGATTCTAAAGGATCTCTAATCAGTTTCACTCGCTTTTAAATTCAATGAATAATTAAGACCATGGGGTTTTGGGGTTTTGGGGTTTTGGGG